GAAGCTTTTCATTATGCAGTACTCATCTGTTTTCAGGGTGGGTACATTCCTTTCACTGTGGAGGGGATGGGAGGGTTGAATAGTCCATGATCTTATAATTTAGAATTGTTACCATACATAAGCTTGGAAATTTTAGGTCTGGCACTTACTAACTAATGTTAAAGGGTAGGGAATTCATTGCTGTGTGTGTCAGTATGGCTAAGTTACTGCTGCATAATAGCCTTTTCATTGTGTATTTTGTCTGTCCTGTAGATTTTGGTAAATACTGTCTGGAGGCATTTGAGGTTAAAAAGTTCAGTAGGACTTGGTTTTAAAAAAAAATTCTACTGCAGGGAATGTTTGTTTATGATAGAATAAAAAGTGTAAGGGGAATCCTAGAATCATAGAATAGTTAGGGTTGAAAAGGACCATAAGATCGTCTAGGTCCAACCCCCCTACCATGGGCAGGGACACCACGCACTAAACCATATCACCTGAGGCTTGGTCCAGCTCGGCTTTGAACATTGCCGGGGATTTAGCTTTCACAACATCCTTGGGCAACCTGTTCCAGTGCCTCACTACCCTTGTGGTAAAGAACTCTTCCTCTTTAAGTTTAAACCTGTTATCCCTTGTCCTGTCACTACAGTCCCTATTGAAGAATCCTTCTCCAGCATCCCTGAGTTTCACAGTATAGACCTTATTTTTGAGACTTAGCATATGCAGTTCCTTGTCTTCCACTCCCCCAAGAGAAATACAGCTATTTATTACCAGAAAGGATGCTGTATGAGCTAGACAATTAAAAAGCATTCCATTGGTGTGATTTGGGCTGTCTGTCCTGGGTTCAGCAGTAGCAGTGATTTTTCTCCTTCTCAGTACCTGGTACGGTGCTGTGTTTTTGACAGCGGGAACAGTGCTGATAACATCGATGTTTTTAGTTGTTGCTCAGTAATGTTTACTCTGACCAAGGACTTTCTCAGTCTCATGGTCTGCCAGGGAGGAGGGGAAGTCAAGAGGAAGCAGAGACAGGACACCTGACCCAGGCTAACCATTGAGGTATTCCATACCACAGCACATCATGCCCAGTATATAAACTGGGGGCAGTTACCTGGAAGGGCTAGATCACTGATTGGTTCGGACTGGGTGTCGGTCAGTGGATGGTGAACAGGTGTATTCTCTTCCCTCATTATTTCCCTTCTCATTATTATTATTGGTGGTAGCAGCAGTGGTTTTGTGTTATACCTTAGTTACTGGACTGCTCTTATCTCAACCCACAGGAGTTGCATTCTTTCAATCCCATCTTTCCAGGAGCGGGGAGGAGTAAGTGGGGGGAGTGAGTGAACTGCGTGGCTGACTGGGCTTAAACTATGACACTGTCTTAGCCTGACTTAACCTCTTTTGGAGAAACAGTAAAGAAGCCCTGAACCTTTCTGCTTCTAGTGAGGAAGCTGCACCTCTTTGGGATTAAAATCCTTGATTATTTTAAAGTAGGTGCCATTTAATTCAGGATTTGAAAATGCTGCGTCCCATATTTGTCTGCTATATTATTTAATGGCTTCTTTAAGACATTACTTTAAACACTTGTCTTTGGTGGACTAGTGCTAGAACCTAGTACAGGTACCTGTACATTATGCTGGATAAATTAGTCTGTGGTTGTTGGGATTTCTATTCAGCAGGAATACAAAAGATAAGATATGGGATAGCTTCCAAGTCTGAATTCTCATTGCTTGCATTTTCTGCTCCTTTCATTAGTGTAAGAAGATGAAAGCTTTTTGCTGTTGAGACATGACACTGAGAAGATGAACTTCTCTTATGCTCTTGTTTTCCTGTGGTCTTAGAACTGAGAAGGCTGTGTCGAAGCCCTCTGCTTATAACTCACTTCAGTACTTGTTTGAAGACCTGGGGTTCTAGTTAATCTGGAACTGAGCCTGATAAATGGCAATTTGGTGGTGGTCTCTTCGATGTGAACAAATCTCTCTCAAGGGAATTATGTAACTCCTCTTCCATCTTCTGTTTTCTAGAAGATGGCAGTGGTTAAAAATATTTTGTTTTAATGCTGTTAGCTCCAGTTGGAATTAGAAGATCTTCAGATGAGGATTTATTGGTCTGGGCATAGTGTTGCAGGAATATTTGCATTACATGCAAAGTGGTCAGCTGCCTTGCCTTACTTTGGCAAAGCCTGGTGGTTGCCACAATTTCATTTTAAGCACTTCAGCTCTGCAACACAGTAAGACAGCTTTAATTTTACTTGTGGTCACCGGACCAGGAAAGTGTGGGGTGTTGATGGTGTGGTTTATTTTTTTGTTGTTGTTGTTTCTTGGTTTTTTTTTGTGGGTTTGGGTTGGTTTTTTTTGTTTTGGTTGTGGGGTTTTTTTTATTTTGTTTGGTTTTTTTTCCTTGCCTTTACATTTGCAATGGTAAATTTTAAAGCTAGTTCTTATAATCTGTCTCACGCGGGTAGTCTCATGAATAAGTTGTGGTGATGAACAGAAAGTGTGGTGGTGCTTTTTACCACAGTAGTGGTAATTAAGACTTAATGTTGTGAGGTTAATGCTATCATACCACAACCAAAGCATGAGAGGGATTCTTCTGCCTTAGGCTTCTAGGAACTGATCTTATGGTACAGTGGGTGGTAACAATGGCAGCTTTCTGCTTGTACAGCTGAAGTACTTTGTTTCTGCTTTAAGGAGAATAGGTATTTAAAGTTGAAGGCCTCAGATAGCACAAGTAGTTGATTTATCTTGCCATATGATTGAAAAACACAGATTACCTTCAACTTTCATGCCCTCCTTGCCCTCTTTCTCTGCTGAAACTGACTATTCTTATAGTCTCAGTGTGTGGTAATGCTGCAGGAAAAAGTAAAATTAATCTTGTAAGAAAACAGAGTACCCAAAGATGCTATGAGAGATGCGAGTCTATTTATGTTAAAGGACTGTGTTACTTATTAATTGGATTTAGATTTCTGGTAGTTAAGATTTTTGTAAAATGCCTAGTACAATGCTGAGTAGTTCTTCTGGTGTATATTGTTATAGTTTCTTCTGTGGCCTCTGGCCTCTAAGCAATACAAAGGCAGAGTTACATTAAATTAGGTTTCCAGTTTCTTTGAAATGTCATTGGAATGGTGATTTCCTGCACCATGGTAGTAGTTTTCTTCTGAAGAATGGAAGTAGCATCTTAATTATCCTCTTGGTGATGTGTGCAACTTGTCTAAACAGATTCCAACAAGGGAATCCATTATTTGTTTTGGGATTCTTTTACGCTGTTTGGACAGTTCTGAGTAGTCCAGCAAAAAAAAAAAAAAAAAAAAAAAAAAGCACTGGATATTAAAGTCTTGTGTTAATGTGATGCTGAACTTGTGATACTGTTCTGACTGACACATTCAAAAGTAAATACAAGTCTCATAGCTGCAAGTTCATTGTTTTTTTTTTTTTTGTGTACTACACAAGTAGGCTCAGTTGCTTCAAAAATTAGATTATATGTGGTAATGGAATGACGGATAGAATGTGTTGTAAACCTGTCATTAGCCAGATCTGCTGCTTTAGTGGCACTGTCTCTTCAGATTACTCGGAGTCTACTTTTCAAAATTAAGAAACAGCATGAGGTTTTGGAGAGTGTTGCTTTTCAGCAGCTGATTTTGATTCATAATTCTGAGATTTTCACAATCCAGGAGTTGGACGAAAATCTAAGAAGTCAGTATTTTGGAAATCCTCTCATAGACCCTGTTTAGCTTCAAAATATCAAGACACTTGAGGCAAGAACAGGCTTGCATTCAAACCAGTATTGACTAGGCATTAATGGCTAGCAAATATGGGTGACTTGTGTCAGTCATTTTACAATCTTTCAGTGCTATCTTATGAAATACCACACAACCCTGTTGATAGTGACTATTACAACATCTTTGTGTCTGGAATTTTACTCTTTAAGTACCAGAAAACCCAGGTAAGTTATCTGGGCAACCAAGATGAGAAAAATACTAAGTGAATAAGTTATATCTGTTTATATCCTATGACTTTGAGACAAAAATATGACTTACTTCAAAGCAGTATCAGGGCTCTTAGTTGTGAGCAAGTAGATCCTAAGCGTATTTTTTTCTTAACTGCTCACTCTCTTGCAAATCTTGGAGCTTGAAATACCTCTTGTTAGGAACAAAGGCTTCCAAAGTTGAACAAATATTATGAACACTCTGTTTGGATATAGCGGAAACTGCTAGTTTAGGAGTAGCATCTTGGCAGATTATTTTGATAACCATCTGAATGTGGTGGTGGTGTGTTGCCAACTGTTCAAGTAGTGTTGCCAGAGTTGGGTTTAAGATCTGTTAGAGCTACTGTAGCAGAGGCCTAGGCAGACAGGATTTTGAAAATTTGAGGGTGTTTCTGGTATTGCCTTTCCTGCACTTCCTTTGTAACCATAATGTAATCTTACAGAGAATACCAGGATAAGTGGGAATGAGGATTTTAGGAATTTGGTTGAGAGGGTGTAGCTACTTTTTCCATGCCATTGGAGGAACAAGTGTTGACCTGTGAGGTAGAAGAAGAATGTGAAGAAATGTCCATGGAACAAAAATATTTGTAGCCTAGTGTTGTGATGGTAGAAGCTAGAAGCTTACCTCTCCAGTCATAGGAAAGAAATCCTCTCCTGTTGTATACTTGAACTTCAAATTAAAATGCAGGATTGGAATAATGAGTAAGGGTTTGTGTGTTGTCATTGTTTGTTTGGAGTTTTTTTGGTGTGTGTGTGTTGGGTTTTTTTTTTTGGGGGGGTGGTGGTGGTTTTTTTTTTTTTTCCAAATTGTAGAGGAGGCTTGTAATAGGTATGTACTTATTTAAGTAGAAAGCTTGTGCATGTTTGTTTAGGAGGTGTAAATGTTTAAAGTGTTTCATATAGGCTTTGGTAGTGGTTAATGTAATTACTTTTTCTGGTTTTGTATATTTAAGACTCTCCTATCTTCCTGTTCCCTTAGAAGAAAACAATGTGTCCTGTATTAGCTGGAAACACTCTCTTGTTTCTTCCTTGCACACTCACAGAAGGCCACAAAGAAAACTGACAAACCCAGGCCAGAGGAGAAGGATGACCTAGACATAACAGAGATGAGTAATGAAGATCTTCAAGAGCAACTTATGAAGTATGGACTAAATCCTGGCCCAATTGTAGGTAGGTCAAGTGATGCTAGCAGATATTGATCTGTTCAACGTATTTCCCAATAAACCTCAGTTCTGTGTCTTCTAAGCTTATCTGATACAGTTACTTAATACCAATACTTCTGCAGTTGTGCTTTCCACTTAAGATGTTTTCATTGAACTGTTTACATTGAGAAGACTTGAAACATTTCATTGTAGGCAAGTCTGCAGTTCATTCCTCTTGTGCTCTAGGCCAGCTGGAGATATTCCAACTTCTGTTCCAAACCTGTGTAACTCTTAGTTAACCTAATTATCCCAGTACTGAAGTTTTTCTGATAACAGAGGTGGAGATCTGGGGCCTGCTAAAAATAAATCTTACATAATAACCTAATAGCATTGAGAGCAGAATGAGAATGTGGAACTTGCCCTTCCCTAGAGCATTTCCTACTTACCGCATTGTGTGTTAATGTTCTGCTATTTTTTCTTTTTTTTTTTCCTCTTGTGCCCCCCCCCCCCCCCATTGTTTTGTCTTGTATGATAATCTACATCAGAAGTTCTTATCGCAGCTTAATCTCCTGCCTTGGGCACTCATCTGTGATGTGGAATCAAAGATCCTTGCCTTTCAGATTCTTCACTAGCTTAATGGCAAGGGAATTCCACAACCCTTTAAAAAAAGGGGAGGTGGGGAAGTAAAGGCTGCTGTAACATGCTGATCCTCCTGTGGATGTTCTTGGGATCCTGAGTGAATGGCAATGACAGTGATAGAGCCTGGAATCGTGTGTGTATTTGAAGTCTTATGCATAATACTATGTTAGCTGTTACTGCATGCTTTCCCATTCAATTTATTCCTCTTGGATAGCACTCAAATCTTCTGAAAATTTGAGTACACATGGAGTCCATTGGGAAGATGTTCAAATTTTAAGTAAAAGCTTTGTTCTTAGAGGACATGGATTCTGTTTCTTGTTGTCTGCCTCTTCCTCTTGCCTGAAGTCTTTTTCTGTTAGGCTTTTCTGCAGCTAACATCTCGGGCAAGAGTCACCTTTATAGATTTTTGCCAGCATGGTCCTAACTTGGAAGTATGTGCTAAACTTGATACCTTTTAATCTTAAACAGCTCTCAGAGCAAGCGAGCCAACCCGATGACTAGATGCATCAAACAGGAAGTTCTGTTGCTGTTACTTGCACCATCTTTGGTGCTTACTTGGCTTAATTTGGCAAAAGGAAAAGATTAAGGGGAAAAGGGGCATTAATTACAGGGTAAAGAGATTAGGAGGATAATAGTGGAATATGCATGGAAACCAGTGTCAGTCCCACAATTATTTTTTTTTGTGAGAGCATAACCATTTGTGTATTACAACATATGAAATAAAATATCTAAGGAGCAGGTAAGTTCCCTTTACATAGGTAAATGCTTGTAACTTTCAGTGTACTGACAGGTCTAAGTTTATCTTAAGAATTCTCTTAAACCAAATAGTTAGAAGCTTAGAGGTAGCGTTATCTACCCAGAGGTATATGCTTTGAGCCATACAGACTGATCAAAAATACAAAACCTTGTGCTTTCAAAGATCCCAAAGGAATATATAACACCCAGATTCTTGCAGTCAAGTCAGGAAAGATAAAAACTATCTTTAGCATATATCCTTTCTTGTTTATAGCTACTACTAGGAAACTTTATGAGAAAAAACTGTTGAAACTGATGGAGCAAGGCCCAGAACCAAAGGCACCTGTGCCTCTCCCAGCGATATCTTCAGCTACAGAGAACACCAGGCAGAATGGAAGTAATGAGTCTGACCAGTACAGTGACAGTGAAGAAGGTAAGATTTAAGTGGAACTTGGTTGTGAGCTATTCAAATTATACATCAATAATACTTGCAGTAGAAGAAATACCTAAAGAGGGTGTGACCTTGCTGTTAGGTGAGGCTTACTGCTGTAGACCACTTGAGTCATGCAATTAATCATGCAGTAGTAGCACAGTGATCGAGTTCTGAGAAAGGAAACTTCTGCTACTAAACTGTTGCCTTCTGTCCATTTTCCCTGGATTGGAGCCTCTGAATCTGATGGGTAGGAGAACTGCATATTAATTGTTCTAGTGTTCTTTGCACTTCATCATTAAATGCAGTTTTGTCTTAAGGTGCTCTCAGTAGTTATTTACTATTGGATAGTATATGAATATTTATTAAATTGCTGTACTTTTGTGATTTAATGTCTGTCATGTATGACTCAATCCCTTTTATGCTCTGTTTGTTATGGGCTTAGCTTGTGGTGGGTTGGTTGATCTTGGATGTGTTTTTTTGTGGTATAAATACTGAGTTCATATGAAAAAGGTATAGGGGTGGGGGAAATGGAACTTAAACCCCACACCATCCTGCTTCTTATATAAAAACAGTGTAGGTTTTAAAGAGTGTATTGAATGGAATGTTAGAAGATGCTTATTTTATGTGGTTTGGTTTTGGGGGTGTTGGGTTTTTTGTTTCTACAGAACTTCTCTGGAGATAGGACAGAAGGGGTTGAAATGCAACTAGGAACTCAATGGATTTCTCTTGTGTATTTGGGCTTGGTTTTGAACTTAGCCCTTGCCCTTTCAAAGCAGGGAGAGATGTTAAAGATTTATATATTTATTTATTTTTAGCACAGCTGAGAGCCCAGTCACAGCTGACAGCCTTCTCCTTCTACTTACACATGCTTTATCTAATTACCAAGTTCAAACGCTGGGGATGAGGGGTGAGGGGAACAGGGCATAGACACAAAAAACAGCAAGCCAAAAGCAAACACTTCCTCCCTGTCAAAAATTAAACAAACAGGACTTTTCTATAAATAGACTGTAGATATGTTGGTATATTAGAATTTTAGAAAGGGGTGGTAATAATACATCCTGTTACTGGTAAGATGACTGCTAACCACTTGCCCTTCTGCATCAAAAATGAGCTTTATATAAAAGGGCCTGTTTTAAAGGAAATAAAACTACCAACCTAAATGATGTTGAAAAGCTTCAATACCCTTACTACAATTAATAGTATAATGGTATTTTGGTTAAAGTATTTGCAGCTTGATACCAGTTTGTAAATGGAACTGCTGGATTGGCCAAAGCTTATCTGAAATGTAGTGTTTTATAACAAAACTGAAATACTTGGATCAGTGTTTTAAAATATTTTAAGGTTATTCTTCAAATGTCTCTTCTACATTTAGTGGACAAACTTACCTCTTTCTCAAGCTTTTTAGGAAAGTGGTAACTCATCAAAGAGTTATGTTGCTTCTTAATTTTTTTTTATTGAAATAAAATTGGTTTAAACTAGTACAACAACCAGTAGTATTATAGAAACTAGTTATATTAAAATTGATTACAGATCCTAAGACTGAACTGAGGCTTGAGAAGAGAGAACCATTGAAAGGCAGGACAAAGACTCCAGTACCACTCAGACAAAGAAGAGTTGTTGAACACAACCAGGTATGTTTAATTTAGTGGTGTCTGGAACAGCTACTAACTGCAGGTGATTTGCTGACTAAACCCCTTAATGCTTTTAACATAATCACATTTGACTTAGTGGGCTCTGCTGTTTTTTGAAAGTTCTTCCAGAAAGCCTGTTCTAAGGCAACATAAAAATCTTGTGAAATAACTGTAGCTGGTGGGTTTAGCCTGTCTGATAATGCTCAAAATTATGTTCTGCTAAAAGCTGTGCTACTGTAGCTGGCCAGTCAGATAAACCTCCTTGAAAAAAATAGTAGGCAACCATAACATGCAAAAAGAAAAGTTCAGAAAAAGGTTAGTTTGGGCTTTTTCTTTTTTTTTTTTTAATATATGTATATGTATTTTAAAACATTTATATCCGTCTGGTTTTATATCTGTACATACATGTATGCGTTTTAAATACATCTGTTTAATGTTTCTAATACATGAATTAATGTACTTCTGTATATGCCTATATATAGAAGCATGTGTATGTGTGTGTATACACATGCATTAGCTATCTGGTTTTTTTCCTCAGCTGTGCTTGTGGCGGCAGTACTAGTGTAGATACTAATTTGTTGGAAAGCTTCTCCTAAGAAGAATAGTAATAAACAACAAGTTTAAACCTCAACGTATGTGCCAACTGTCCTTATGAATAATACTAGTCTTGTTGTGGTGAAAGAGAAATTTTACAGAAGCACTTCAGGTTTTCAAACTGTTGGCTGGATACTGGATTTGGTAGTTGGTGACTGATGTGTTCTTGTGATATGAGAGTGTCACCAAATACCCCCTTCCCCAACTTAGGTTACCTAGGATCTTTACAGTTTTACTCACCTGACCAGTAAGTAGTAAAGTTGTGCTACAGTAGAAGGCTTGTATAGAAAACATTTAGTGACTCAAAATCTTACCTGTTAATAGCTTGATGTATTTTAGCAGATCAGTGATTTTTCTCACTACTTTATTCTAAATGCCAGATGCTTCCTTTTTAGATACTGTATTTGTATGTATAAGCATGCTTTTTGCTATGGATGTCTCTTAAAGCAGGCAATATGTTGTGGTGTGAGCTTGGGTAATGGAGTGCAGTTACAGAGATCTGTAACTAGTTGTCATTAATTGGATTTTTAGGGTACAAGTTGAACAGATGTTACCTCTATGAATCAAAGCACACAGGTAGTTCAGCGCCAAAACATTCCTTAATTTATTCAGGCAATTTCTGCTCATGATGGTCTTTAGGTTAGGCATCTGAATCTTGTATTTTAAGGATTACTCTTCTAAATCTCTGTTCACACAGAAGTCCCTGCCAGCCTCAGTGTGACAGAGGTATTTAATTCATTTGTCAACAAAGCAAGCTTCCTAGTCTTCAGGAACCCACAGAATAAAAGGGAAGAGATAGTAATGTATTTTTGTGGCTTTTTCAAACGATGAGTACCTTCTAAAGTTTCTGTCATCTAATTTCACTGTAATAACATGAGGTCATTACTGTGTTTTATCCTGCAATTTATTACATGTGCAATATTTTAGTTACCAGGAGTTAATAGAAGGAGTATCATTTCATTAGTAAAAAAAAAAAATCTAATTTCACAATTATGCCAGATCCTTCAGGAACTCTTAAATGCAGCTTGTTAAACCCTTTACCTTCCAACAAACCAAGCAAACAACAAAATAAAAATGACTAACAAAGATTTACATCTGCCTGAAGCCAAGAACAACTTAATGCTTTTGGTTAGCAAATGCATAATGCCTCAATGTCCGCCTGGATACCAGTAACGAGTGGTGTCCCTCAGGGATCAGTGTTGGAACTGGTCTTGTTCAACATCTTTGTTGGTGACATGGACGGTGGAATCGAGTGCACCCTCAGCAAGTTTGCCAATAACACAAAGCTGTGTGATTCGGTCGATATAGTGGAGGGAAGGAATGCCATCCAGAGGGACCTTGACCCGCTTGTGAGGTGGGCTGATGCCAGCCTTATGTAGCTTAACCATGCTAAGTGCAAGGTCCTACACCTGGGTCAGTGCAATCCCAGGCACAGCTACAGGTTGAGCAGAGAAGATATTCAGAGCAGCCCTGCAGAGAAGAACTTGGGGGTGTTGGTCAATGAGAAACTCAACATGAACCAGTTTCAGTGTGCACTCACAGCCCAGAAAGCCAACTGTATCCTGGGCTGCATCAAAAGGAGCGTGACCAGCAGGTCGAAGGAGGTGATCCTGCCCCTCTACTCTGCTCTCCTGGGACTTCACTTGGAGCACTGTGTACAGTTCTGGTCTCTTCAGCATAAGAAGGACATGGAGCTGTTGAAGCAAGTCCAGAGCAGGGCCACGAGGATGATCAAGGGGCTGCAGCACCTCCCATGTGAAGACAGGCTGAGAAAGTTGGGGCTGTTCAGCCTGGAGAAGAGAAGGCTGCATGGAGACCTCATAGCAGCCTTCCAGTATCTGAAGGGGGCCTATAAGGATGCTGGGGATGGACTCTTCATTAGGGACTGTAGTGATAGGACAAGGGGTAACGGGTTCAAACTTAAACAGGGGAAGTTTAGGTTGAATATAAGGAGGAAGTTCTTTCCTGTGAGGGTGGTGAGGCACTAGAATGGGTTGCCCAAGGAATCTGTGAATGCTCCATCCCTGGCAATGTTCAAGGCCAGGTTGGACAAAGCCTTGGGTGAGAGGGTTTAGTGTGAGGTGTCCCTGCCCGTGGCAGGGGGGTTGGAACTTGATGATCTAGGTGTTCCTGCCTCCTGCAGGGGGATTGGACTAGATAATCTTTTGAGGTCCCTTCCAATCTCTAGCATACTGTGATACTGTGATCTTAAGGTCCTTTCCAACCCTAACTATTCTACGATTCTGTGATACGTTATGCTCAGAATAAAAGTGGAAGGTTTGGTTTGGGTTTTTTTTCTCTTTTTTTTTTTTTTCCCCCCCTAGTCTGAGATTATGTCAAGTGACCATACTTTGCAGGATTATATTCAACTGTCATGGTCTGTGTGGCATTTGCTCAAAGATCATGAAGCTCTGAAGGGTGGTGGGGCTGAATTGGTGGGTAGTGTGTGAGCAGACTTATCGCTTCTTCTAGGTCCTGTGTAGCACTAGGCTTAGTCTGGATGTACAGACCTGAAAAGGTTGTTATTTGGCATGGGTGGATGTTGCTGTTCCCTTGAGAAATGAGTGCAAATAGATAGTCTTTAAGCCAGCTGTTGCAAAATAAATGAGGTGAGGAGGTTAGCAGGCTTATGGGTCCTATCACTTACTTAACAGTGGAGGGCTAGATGAACCTGAGCTTGGCTGTTGGTGTGTAGTTGCATCCTCATAGTGAACTGAAAAAGTTGGAAGAAAACCCTTATTTGAGCACCCACTTCTACTTGGGTAGGTGAACATAGATTTAGAGTTCTAAAGTGAGCCTAAGGCCTCATGGTTAAGTGCACTGGACAGAAAGAGACAGACTAAATAATGTATATATTATGGAGTCTTAACAGTGTAGAACTAGTCTTTCTACTTGAGGGTTAGTGTAGTGACACTTTGCACTGTGTTCCCCTACTCCTCCCTTGAGTTTTTTTACTTTCTGTATATCTGGGCTTTTTAAAAATAAGCAGCATTGCAGCTGCTGTGATAACTGAAGTAAACTTATCTATAGCTTCGCTGCTTGAGTAATGCAACAGTTAAAAAGCACAGGCTGAATAGTACTTGTGTACCACATCATTGTAATTTTCTATGGTTATACGTAGGGTGTTGGTGTACCTAAACACATTATATTCTAATAGGGTTTATTTAGTTCAGATATTTGTGGAATAAGCAGACAAGGCCTACTCAGTTGACACTGAGGATAACTGTAGGCAACTTTTAAATTGTTGAATATTCTCTGCTGAAGTCTGGATGGGGTTTATGCAGTAGAATTCTTTTTCCCATAGACTTTTCATGTAAGAGAAAAAACCCTTGAAATTTGGTACTTAAAACACATGATTGTTAAGAAGCTGAAGAACTAAGAAACATTTATTTACTGAAGTGCTTCCAACTTCCACTAGAAGAAAACTAGGTTTTTGTCAGACAGCCTGGACCAGGGGAGCTCTCCATTAGTAGTATGAGGGAATTGCTGTACTGCTTTATTAACTGGAATGTGTTTGAGTGGAACTACTCTGAAATTCATGTTTTTCTTTAGGCTTTTCAAGAATGCCTCTCAAATAGAAGATGTGTGGGGTTGAGGTAGGGAGCCATGACTGAAGGCTGAAGGTTAAGCTTTCCTTAATAGGGAATTGAAGCTCGTGTCTGGTGACTGTATAAAGAGGGGTTGGAAGATCCTGCTTAAATTGAAAAGAATATGAGAGACTTAGGCTGAAATCTACAGTTCTGTGTGAAACATCTGAATCTGTTTGGACTTGATCATTTGGCTTTCGAAGTATTTTAGGGACTGGAGTAAAGTGAAACTCTTGTGCTCCCTCTGCTGGATACATAGCAGCTGTAGTACAGAACTTGGGACTCATAAAGCTGCTCAGCTTCTAATTTCACTGTAGTAACCCTGAAGATACAGGTGGTGAATGGATGGAGGATGTTGTTAACTTTTTTTGTTAGTTTTGTCGTTGCTTTTCTGTTGTGTTTTGTTGTTCTGGGTGGGGTTTTTTTTTGCTTTTTTTCCTCCCCTCCCCCTCAGTAAATCCTTTTCAGCCTACTCTTGGCTTTTTTATTTTGGGGCTAGTATTGTTCCAGTGATACTTGTTGTTAGAACTGTAATTGACAGTTGCACCAGTCTGTAGAACTTCCATCAGTGCTGGATGTAACTTCTAAAAACTTGGTAGTACATCAGTGCATGAGATGTTAATAGGCAAATATCTTGGATGAGTAAAGTTTTGGGTTTTTTTAATATTATTATTATTTTTAAACTTAACCAAATACAGAGTGAAGGCTTGGTGTAATTTAGAAGAAGCAGGCCCTTTTCTCCCTTTCCTTCCAGGTCTGTGTTTGGAATTTGTTTTGAGGAAGATTTTTTTTTTTATTTTTTCATTTAGCATAAAACTTGCATTACAGCATAGGGAATGATCTGTTTTTCTTAATGGCTATAAAAGTTTGGTACTTCATGTTGTTACTTAGATTGGTAAAGATCTGTGTCAGGCTTGACTGTTTAAACCTGCTGTTACATGAAAATTGATATGTGGGTGGCTGTTCCTAGACCTTTCCCACCTCTGCTTGAGAGAATAGACCCCTGTGTGAGTACAGAACATGGTGATGCTTTCTGCTTATGCTTATAGATTTTTTTATTATTTTTTATTTTTTTGTGTAGACAAGTAACGCAGTGGTCCTTAAAGCTGGCATACTTTTTGTCCATGACTTGATGTAACTACTTGTAGGGAGCATTAGTTCACTCTCTATTGTAGTAAGTAAGATTTTTACTGTCAGGCATTATCTTGTCAGTTCTGTATTTCAGCAATAATGTGCTCTGATGTAAGTATTGTGGTCGATACTCCTAGTCTAGCTAGATGATAATTACTGAATATATTAGGATCCAGATAAGTTTTGGATTGTAGACACTGCTTCTGGAGTATGCATGCTATTCTGGCTTTTGGTTGTGGGTATCCAATTTTGAGAGATGGCTTTCATGTATTTGATCATGTGTTTGATGCTTGAATAGACCTATTCTCAAGATGGAGTTACTGAGACTGACTGGACAAGTGGATCTTCAAAAAGTGGACCTCTGCAGGCATTTTCTAGGGAGTCTACAAGAGTGTCAAGAAGAGCATCAAGAAAAAGGGTGATGATAGGCTTTTTATAATAGACAAGCTTTTTTTTTTTTTTTCTCACTTTTAGGGTCTCAGTGGTTATTTTATTCAATTGTTTTCTTTTGTTTGTTTTAAACAAACAGGTGGAAGCTACAGCACAGTTGCCTGTAGATGATGCTGTAATATCAGAGAGTACTCCCATAGCTGAAACTATATTGACTGCAAGCAACGAGACCCTAGTAAATATGCTTAGTAAATATGTTCAATAAATCATGAAGTGGTATTCTTCTGTAATATATCTTTACTGATGGAATCATTCTGTTTTGAACAGACAGGCTGTTTCAAGGGAAGTAAGACTAATCAAAGACTATGTTCTTTGAAACCATATTCAGTGTCTGTATTAGTACCTATGCTGTTCACTTTGAGATGGGACTGGGTAGACACCTAGATCCTATCTAATGTCTTTTTGTGGGGAGGGTTGAAAAGAGCCACTTTCAAAGCTTGGATCTTTTAAGTACATGCAGAATACCAGCTTTTAAATTTGGCTTTTCTTGTGAACTAAATAGCTTTATTTCTAAATGGCTTAAAAGAAAGTACTTGGAATGATATGCAATGTGTTTCCTGTGCTTATTTCAAAGTATTTGTTACATAACTTTTTTGAGTTAACTGCTAACATGCATATATTCAATACACATAAAGATTTTGTTGCTTGGTTCTGCCACCTTTCCCCCCTCTTTCATTTTGTGTTTTGGCTGATTCTGAGTTTGAACAATTTTGAATCTTGGCAGGTTGGCAATAGGGTGACTGGAAATTACAAGCATGCAGCTCCTACGCTGTCAATCAGTGAAATCTCAGACATGCCCAGAAGAACACCAAAGAAACCATTGATGACAGCTGAAGTAAATAAATTAAAACTTAGATTGCTCTTGCTTACTCTCTGTGATCAAGATTCTTGTGTGTATGTGCTTACTTCTTAGTACAGGAGGGGTAGAGGACATCATTGTCCAGATGTTACTAGTCAAAATAGTAGTGTTACTTGGCATAAAAATAAGTGTATATTCTCTCTTATCTTCCCCTTTCAGATTTAGGGGGTGTAGGAGTGTGTGTGTGTGTGGTGTAAATCCTACTTTTTTTTCCTAAGCCAAATATGTTCTGGTGTGTTATTTCTTCTTGTGCTGCTATTCTGATGAAACTGTAGATTTTATTGTTTTTTCCTTAACTCCTTTGAATAGCTCAAAGATAGAGCAGTATTGGATTATCTACTTTTGATCTTGTAAATCAGCCTATTCTGAAAAGCCTTAATGTGCTTTAATTTAGGGCCTCAAATAGTAGGATTACTTTAGACAAAAAGCCTAAATTTAAAAAGCATCTGTAGATTCCTATCAGTTATCAAGAAAGAAAATAATTCTTTGACTAGGTTAACTGTAAATCTGTCAAATTTATATTCTCAGAGAACTGTCTAAAGCACTTGCAAGTATATGTAACTGTATTAACATAGTACTGTAATATTGTGTACTTTTACATTACAAGATAATGTTTGGCTGAAATTAAATGGAGTTCCTTGCTTCGTGTAGTTACTGCAGATAACTATTCTATGATTCTATAAAACTTGTGTTAACATTTGTGAAGTCTGTTCTCGATGGGTCTGAAATCTATGAAATGGGGCTGCTTTATTTGTAGTGTAACTGGAATGTAGAATTAGTTGCCAAATAGAAGCTTGTGGGAAAACTGGATATTCTATTTAAAGGTTAAGGTTTGTGGGTTTTTTCTTCAGTTAGTATTTTACTATACTGTGGCATTGTTTATTACAGCAAGAAGAGACAGATTGCCTGCATCAGTACTTTTTTAATCATGTTGGCCACAACCGATCCTTTGATCTGCTCAACACAGCCATGATAGAGGTGATGGTTAAGTTTTTTTGATCATCTGCATCACTGGCTGGCAGGAGTATTGTGTTTATATGGCATATTTTTTATCTTAAAGGAAACTGAGGAGAGGACTGAATGCTTTAAGACACCAAAAGTGACCAGACAGCTGCCACTAACAAAGGTTAAACTAAGTTCTAGAACCCAAGAAGTAAATTTCTTGAATGCCACTGGGTGACTCAGTCTTAAAAATTGCACATGGTTATGGTCACTGAGATAGATATGCAGGAGCTTTTTGCTTTGCAGTCTTACTAGATTTATAACTGTTTTTGATTTCCTAGGTGCTGGAGAGAACTCATACAGAAGAACGAAGAGTAGAAAGGGACATTCTCAAGGAAATGTTCCCTTATGAAGTATCAACACCTACAGGAATTAGGTATTTCAAAGGTTTATGTGGAGCTTGTTTCTCAGTTTTGTAATCCTGTTTAAGCTGATGAGAAGTGTCTTCTGATTATATTAGTAGGTTTCTGAGGAACACTTCTTGTGCTGTCTCAGTAACAGCTGAGATGACCAGATCTTCTGTTCTATATACATAGTTTTGTTAGGCAAAACAGCCATTTTTTTAATTTAAATTGAGGGTAGGGGAATAGGGTAATATTACAGTAGGAATTATTATTGGAACTTCTGGATGCTGCGAGTTAGATAGAAAGGGCTTATCTGTGTAGTTTAAAATATTTAAGCTTTCTGTTAGATACAGCTGCTGTAGGCCTGCTGTTAAATGAAAGATTTCCCAGCATATATGTGAGCTTTCTTTTTGAAAGCCAAGAAGAATTTTCAGGTACCCTGTTTTTTTTTTCCCTCTAAGTAGCCGTCCTGTTCTAGTCAGAGATTAATCGTAGCATGAATAAGGATGGCATCAGAGAAGGGCTGTTACATTTTTCTTTGCAACTTCATAGTTAACTAAAAATTTAAACAGCCTTCTGGATAGTTAAGCAATTCACCAAACTTTGTCCTGTTAGAGAATAAGAAAATTTCCCATTGTTAAGATGTGAAGTCAACTCTTGTGTTTCCAATACATTAATTATAGCTTCAATTTAAACTGCAATTGCATGAAGTCTTACCATAAGGAGAATATGTGGTAACCGCTACTACTACTGTGGTGTATTCTCTGACCACTGAGCTTTGCTCTAGTTTTGAGATCTGTCAGTTGTGTTAAATCTATACCACTTAATAAAAATCATGCATTGTGCACCATGCATATAGGGTGAGGCAGTCCTGCCCATGGCAGGGGGAGTTGGAACTAGATGATCTTAAAGTCCTTTCCAACCCTAACTATTCTATGACATGGCAGTGTAGGTGAATTTTTTTAACCCTTACTGTTGTGTCTTCTTGCTCTGTGTTGGCTTAGCCGTCAAATACATATTTTAAAGGGCAAGGCAATCTTGGATTTAGAAATCCCAGTGGGGCTGCATAAGTGATCACTAAAGACATAAAAGGAGAGGCACACTTCCTAGAGCTTTATTGCCAGTTATGATCCATTGATTACATGGACAGGATGAAGTGCCATTTCAGCTTTTTTTTAAGGGGTGCATATTTAAACACTGAATGACTAAGGTAGTCATCCAGTGTTCATCGTAGTAATGATAGACATGTTAGTTTGCAACAAATGTTTCAGGTACTGCATTCACTAGGAGTAATTTTTATTTCTTTCATTATAATAAAACTTGTGTTTACCTTAGATTGCGCTTGGAAATATGTGATATTTTATGGTTTGTTGTTTTTTTTTTTTTTCTGTTAACAGTGCTAGCTGCCGCAAACCCATCAAAGGAGCTGCTAGCCGGCCTATAGAGCACAGTGACTTCAGAATGGAGGAATGTTTCTCTAAGTATGCTCCAAAATACGGTACCTCAGCTGACATCAAGTTGGAGAAACCACCAACAAACAAACGCTCCATTCCCCTGTGGATAAAAGTTCTTCTCTTTGTTGTCATTTCGGTCTTCTTGTTTTCAGTTTATCAGTCAATGGAAACTAATCAAGGAAATCCTTTCTCTAAGTATCTGAGTATTATCCATCAGGGTGGTGCCAACTGAGTATCTTTCTGAAAGGCACACCTAATTTGATCTCCTATTTTTAATTGTAGAGAACTCTTCTGCCCTCTCATCGGCTCAAGGACTTCTTATAAATAATGTGATTGAAACACGATAAATTGGACAAAGGAAGAAAGATAATATTAAATGGACATCGGTCACTTTCTGGATTTGGACTAGTAGGAGATCACTGCCATAGGAGTAACATTTTTTTAAATCTGAACTTTTTGTAGGCTTTATTTTTTTAATGTGGACATCCTTTAAATTCATTTTTGAGAAAATGTATATTTGTTTTTGCAAGAACTTGGAAGCTGAGAAGGGCAAAAATGTAGTAAAATGTGAAGCTGTGTTTTTAAAGCTTTTCCTTTGTACAGAAAAGAGGTTGTACTTCTGTCTCTATAGATTATTGTGGAGGAGGATTTTAACACAGGTGATAAAGGGAAATGCATTTTTGTATGCATTTTTTCAGTAACCATGTAACTGAATTTGATCTCCTTTAGGATGTAGGGAGAGTATGACAACCTTTTCTGTAGATTACTGTAACTTTTTAGTAAATGTAACTGTAAACCTGTTTGCATTTCTGTAAAAGTCTTAGTATCATATTAGTAACTCCGTTTAAGTGTAACTTCATTTAAATGTATCCCTTTGTTTTAGTGCTTACAGTGTTGTAGGAGCTGAATACAAACCTAATTGGCAAGAGATGTCTTAGAGGAACTTATTTATTAGGAATACGCGTGGAAAATAAAATTTGCATCAATATAATTTACTACGAAAATACTTTTTTGGGTCAGAGTTGTTATCTGAAGTTATCTCTAAATTTTGACGTTAGTAGTGGTCCTTTTTTTTTTTATCCCCAAGCTAGGTCTTTCCAACACAGCTTTTGATTATCTTTAAATATTCATGTAGAGAAGTATTCTCAAAGTGTGAAAATTCCATATGAAGTTTTATTCTTGTATGAAGAGGGCATTGCTGCATTTTCTGCTACAGTTTCATCTTCTGAGGTGAGATTTACTACTTTCATGCGATTGAATATTTTTCTCAGTGGAAGCATGCTGAAACACTCTATATTGTGTAACTTAGTTGAGCAGGCGGCTGACTTCACTGCTACCAATGAAGAGTGATAAGCAACAATTTTTCAAAGTGAATGTATACATTTTGGTGTGCTTAAATCTGCAGCATCCAGATGCTCAGTCTTACTGCTTGGTACAAAATCGCAATAAATCATACTAATTCTTGAAGTGCTACTTATAAAATGCTGAGAACATTAGTTAATAGTCATTCTTTTTACTGTAGGTACAATTATTGCATAGGCTATAGCTATGGAGAAGCTTTACTTTCTGTGAACTTTGGGACAAACATGGTAATTTGTAGCAAAGCAATAGTTTTGGGGGTTTATTTCTGTCAAGATTTTTGTTTTTCCTTTTAATCTGCCTTTCTAGTAATCCAAATAGCTAAACTTGTGTCCATCCTATAGAAAATTGTAACATAAGACATTCACTTCTGGTGTCAAAATGCAGAAAAATAAAAATGATTTTAATGTGTGTGGATTTTCCTTATCAAAATAAATTCATTGTTGAAAAGTAGCAAAAGCAAGACAGCTGATGTATCAGAGGTGTCATTTTGTGCTGCTGAAGTCATCCATCTTTAAAAAAATAAAAATCTGATAGTAAAACCAGAGCAGTTCATGTCAACATTTGGTGGGAGGTATATTCATCATACTTGCACTATAATAATAGTATTGAACCATAATCTTTTAGCCTATGTTAGGCCTTTAAATTGGATGGATGGGAGGAATAGCTAGTCTTCATTTGCTTTTCAGTACTTAAGGAACTTCCTTCTCACTTTAAATTATTTTTCACCCCACTTTGCTATGTGTTTTAACATGAAATATGTCTTTCTCTTCTAGTTACATGAAATAATTTCAGTTGACCTCCTTCAGGGATACTGTTAGCGTCATAAAAAAAAACAAAACAAACCCAAACACACCCCAAACTGAACTGCAGTGCAATCAAATGTCGTCATTCTTTCATTTATGCAGTGTTTTGGAGAATCCTCTCAACTTCAGTGTTACTTCACAGAAGGTAAAGACTTTTCTACATAAGTTCTCAAAGTAACTTACGTGTAGCTCAGTTGTAGTTGGAAGACGTTGGAAGCTTTTTGTACTTGAGGCATTTAATGGTGTGAGATAGCTCTGAGAATAATCTCTTCCTTCTTTATTCCCTCTTTTCCTTCCTCTGCCAGCCCCAAGTATGGATTTAATAGCATTACTAAAGCTATTGATGTAGTTTATGAGAAAAACACATGTAGTAATAAGGCTACTAGCTTGAATAGTTGCATGTGTATAAAGCTGCCTAGATACTGCTAAGTAAGTTACACTGAAGTATACTGTAGTCTTTGTATCAAAGTGTAGAAACAATGGGAACTGGTGTTCCTTTTTTTTTTTTTTTTTTTAAATAATCTGGCTTTTGTTCCATTAGTTTATCTTGACTTCTAGACAGAGACAGGTTAAACTTTCACAACCAATCACAGAATAGAGCCATTTTACAGACTGGTATTAGTATCCAAATTCCAGATGCAAAAATTAGTTGAGTTCTGATGTGGTAAAAGTTGCTTAAGTCCCTTTTAGTGCAAGAGCTACAAAAAGACTGGAAAAATGGCTGTGTAAGTTAATAGGCATGACCATATTGGGGGGTTTGGTGAATTTTATTCTCATGATTGGTCATAGTGCTCGGAATACTGTGCTGAAAACATTACATACCTTGATTTGCTTGTCTGAGTTACAGCTAACACAGAGGTCGTGTTTTTCCCTTTAAATCGTGCACTAATCTTGTAGCATGTGCTCAGTTTGGAGTCTGGTATCAGGCTGTGAATGGCTAGGGGGTATCACCTGTAGTGTTGAGACTTACTGTGGCACCTGATGCATGGTGAGGCTTTGAGAGCTTACCTGCTGTCTGAGACAAGATCTTAAATTCTGTGTGTGTTTTGAAACTGATTTGTATGTAAGTAGGAAACAGAAGGAAATTTTGTTCTCCAAGTAGACTTCCTAGCACCATGCTCTGTACTGCCCTACAGAAGCTTTCAGGTCCTTCATAGATGTGATCTATATATGTTTGTTTCTTCTGGCACAACTTAGGAAAACCCTTCATGGTATTAAAATCTGCACTTCCTGTTAATTACCTTCTCAGATGGTTCTGTGGACAAAATACTGTTTGTTTGTTGTGAGTTTGTGTTTTGAGGCTGTTTTTTGAGGGTTTTTTTAAAGGGCATTAACTGGTTTGTGCAGAATTAAAGTAAAGCTGAGTACCAAAATAGTGCCTTTAATACAAGCTCCGTAAAAGAGGCTGTTTAGCTGAAAAGTATAATTACGAATACAGCTTGTAAAGTTGTGTGGCATGTCTTATGCATATTATATTTTTGGCTTGCTTTGAAGTTGCATATTGGGCTGATAAGCTTTTTTTTTTTTTCTTTAAATCAAAACCTTTTTCTGACTGGTCAGAATAAATATGGGGATGGATTGTGAGGTATAATTTTAAATTTTGTGTTTACAGACTTAGGGATTCCAGCACATCCTTTATTGTCTGTTAATACAGCTTTTACTGTATGTTTAGTAAGTCTACCTGTCTTTATCTAAAACTTTTCCTATGTCTTAAGCTTTTTTTCCTTAGGGAGTATACCAGGCTGCTTTGCACCAGTGCAACAGCAAGGTATCACAGATGTATACATACATGTATGTGTTCATACAGCATAGATTCTACAAGTTAATTTAACTTGTAGTCCTAAGGTGGCATGTATACCTCTTAAGAATTATGTATTGATACTGAAAAGTAATTCCTCAGATTCTCTGTCCTACCTCACTTTGAAATTCTTTGTCGGCATGGGTACATTGGGGAGAATTTAGATAAGAACGATCATCAGATGAGGAGAGGACTCTTAGGCCATTTAGAGATTCTGTTAGTTCCTGCATTCAGATGATGTGACTTGTTCAACCTAGCTAGTTTGGATCCTGTTGAAGGAGAATGCTGCAGTGTTAAGGCTTCCCTTTTGGCTGTGAAACTTACAGCTTGAATTGATCTGTTACTGATTCTTTAGAATCATGGTCTAGTAGTTCTGGTGTTGATAGAATAAATAAGTAAAATACATGCTTATGACAGGAGCAGATGCTACTTGTGCTAACTTGATTATCAAAGGTGTAGTTGGCTGTTTCGCCATCTCATTATGTGTTTTTAAAAGCAGTATGTCATCTGGAGAACAAGTTTACAAGTGCTTTGATTTTACTTGCAGGCTTCACCAAAATGTTAGAACTATGAGGAGTTACTGTAGGACAGAAACTAGTCTGCAGTTGGTTGATTGTGTGCTGCTTGGGGGGATTTAACCAACCTAGACTTTTATAACAATGCTAGGAAGCATGTGTCATTTTTGCCTGTCTATGACTGCCTGAATCAACTTTTTGCAGTTAAAGCCAAGTCCTCACACTGCTGTAGCTGGTCATCCTCCAGGGAAGTTTGGTTCAATAGGAGCCTGCTGAGTTGCCAAAGGGGTGTTCCTGCAGGTGTGCTGTCAGTATGGCTCCCTGCCCAGCAATAGCTGGGATGTTCAGTGTGTGCCTGCTGCGCTGTCTGCTGTGCTTGTGCTATGGAGCACTGCAGTGGAAGGGGTATGAGTCAGATAGTGAGAACTTGGGAGTTCTCATCTCTCAATAACCAGAGAGCTGAACTGTGTTGCACTGGTTTGGACTGTGTAAATCTACTAAAATGAGTGAAATCACACTGTTACAAGAGTGTAGTTTAAGGTAGTTAAGGGTAAGCATGGGTGTTCTGTTAAATAACATTCCACTTGTAACAAAACAGTATCTCACAATTATTCTGGCAGCAGCTGTAGCTGTTGTACCACATGCCCTTGCTAGCTTGCAGGCTTGCCATTGGAAGGAGAAATGCAGTTGTAGAGGCTGTGGGCCTCCTCTGTGCTGGATCTTGCATGGTGCTGCAGCAGGGGCCTGGCCAGAGGGGTGCGGCTTTTGTTGAAGGAGTTGCTTGTTGCAGCTTTGCCAGGAAGCATCACTAGCTGTGAGTGAACAGAGATGGACTTCTTTAAACTCTGGGTGTGATTGTCGCCTGCACTGTGAACCAGGAACAGCTTGCTAGTGCTAGAAGCAGGCTGTTGGAGCAGGAGTATGTGAGTGTTTCCAGTTTGACACTGCCCCGGGCTGTAGCTCTGCGGACTGGCTAGCAAGCGCCCAGATACGGGCAGTACGAAGGAAGGCTCAGAAGTTCAGGCACAGAGTTTAACAGGAAGGGTGCACCAGTACCTCCCTTCCGAGTTACCCACCAAGTCACAGCCTTCCTCAGGCCTGTCGCAGCTCTGCTGCGCTCGCCTGACCTAGGCAAGGGCACGGGGCAGCCGACCGGCCCGTGAACCGACCGGTAGCTGTGGGGCGCAGCCAGTGGCCCGTCCTCTGCGGCGCAGCCCAGTAGCCCCGGCATGAAGGTTGACCCGACCACTCCCCTCCCCCGGCGCGGAGTGCAGCCGTGAAGAGCGGGAGGGGGAAAGGCGAAGGGTGTTGGTCGGTGTTGCGCGTGCGCGGTATTGCCGGTTGGCAGCGCGTCTCTACCAATCGCTCTGCAGCTTCTTGGGTTGTGACTCCGCCCCTTGTGCCGGCGAAGGACAAAGTGACGGAGCCGGGCCCGCGGTCAGCCTCTGCGGGAGCTGCCGCCATCTTAGGAGGTGAGTCAGGACAGCGTGGGGCTGCCCGCTCGCCGGTACCCGCTGTTCGCCCTGGG